ATGTGTTTGGCTTGGGCTTTTCCCCTCAGGGCAGCTGGCGGATCCTGTATAAATCTCCGGTTGAGAAATGGCAAATCCACTCAAATGACCCCAGAGGTGTTTTTTTGTTGTTGCTAAACCTCTCTAAAAAGGTCAAATGTCACTTGTTTTGCATCAATCTTGATACAGGGTACTTACTATATGTTAAAGCTTTTAGTCTACTATCCCATCATTCAAGGGTGGTTTTCACTATAAGTAACAGAGGTCGCGTTAACCGAATATTTTCCGTCTATGACGGAATTTTTTTAACAATGACGGAGAAATCTGAAAGCAGTCCGTCATTTTGACGGATTAGAACAAACTCGGAACAGCACCAAAGTTTCCCCGCAGCGAGGCTCCGGTGTCATGCATGCCTGCCAAAAAGGAAATGATACCGTTTCTAAACCCAACTTTGTGTCTGTGAGTTTTGGCTTTACGCTGTGCGAGGTGCAGTGGGCATGCATGCATAACACGGCGCTAACAGTTCACGAGCGTGCGCCCCGCCCCCCGTTGACAGTTCTCTCTCTCTCCCCCCCCCCACACCACCGTTGACAGTTTATGACCGTGCTCCCCCCCCCGGTTGACAGTTCTCTCTCTCTTTCTCTCCCCCCCCCCCCGACAGGTAATACTGAATTTGACGGAAATGTTACAATCCTGTCCGTCAAAATGACGGGCAGCGAAAAAATCTAGTGCAACCTCTGATAAGTAATGTCTTTTTTTGGACGGACACTGTAATTTACAATGTTTTACTATGTTCAATCTGAATTTACTTTAAAATAAAAACATGCTATATTGATTCTGAATTTTCTACATCCAACTCACAGGTTTATCATTGCTTTGAGAAAAATCTAAAAATATACACGGCTTACAGCATTCGCACGCATTTTCAGCAGGAAATGCATTTTCTAGTTCAGTTCTTCCGTACGTTTTTTGGCATACTTTCAGCTACAGAAACCATTCAAATATCAAAAATATTCAGCTTTTTCAGCACATGATGGGAAACCTTCAACTTTTTCAAAATACTGGTGTCGACGGGACTGGTGTCGACGGGACAGGTGTCGACGGGACAGGTGTCGACGGGACAGGTGTCAGCGGGATAGTCAACGGTGTTGCCGGGACAGGTGTTCCCGACAAAACAAGGGCTGGTGTCGGCAGGACCCTCGGCGGAACAGGTGTCGGCGGGACCCTGAACAGGACAGGACATGGTGTTGGCAGGAACCCTGGCGGAACAGGTGTCGACTGGACCTCCAACAGGACAGGACATGGAGTTGGCAGGACCCCCGACGAAACAGGTGTTGGAGTTGGCAGGACCCCCAGCGGAACCCCCAACAAAATAGGACATGGAGTCGGCAGGACCCCCGACTAAACAGGTGTTGGCTGGACCCTCAACGGAACAGGACATGGAGTTGGCAGGACCCCCGACGAAACAGGTGTTGGAGTTGGCAGGACCCCCAGCAGAACCCCCAACGAAACAGGACATGGAGTTGGCAGGACCCCCGATGGAATAGGTGTAGGCTGGACCCCCAATGGATAAGGGACATGAGTCAGGACTTGAGTCGGCGGGACCCCTGACGGTGAAGGGACTTGAGTCGGCGGGTCCCCGAAGGAGAAGATACTTGAGAAGGGACTTGAGTCGGCAGGACCACCGACTGAGAGTGGACTTGAGAAGGGGCTTGAGTATGCGGGACCCCCGATGAAGAAGGGACACATGAGTCGGCGGGACCCCCCGACGGTGAAGGCACTTGAGTCGGCCGGACCGACAACGGGACACAGGGAGCTGGCGTCGGCCATAATACCGACAGGACACGGGGGGTTGGCGTCGGCCGGAACGCCGACAGGACACGGGGGCTGGAGTGGGCCGAGGAGCTGAAACTGGAGCCGGAAATATGGCTGCTGGGGCCAGGACTCGGGCTGGAACCATGGTTGCTGGAGCAATTTTACTGCTGGGTCCATACGGGTCTGATCATACTGTCAGGTTTGGGGAAAATAGGACCCAAGTGCAGTTAAAAAAAACAAAAAGGTCAAGTACCACAGCATCTGGCACTATATCGGACAGGACCACTATGTTAAATTGTTTTAATGAGCATTTTGTGTCCTCTCTGTTTGATTCTGTCACTAACTCTGCTTCTGTGAACACCACAGTCTGTGATTCTGAAAAACATGTTTTGGAAAACCCTTTCAGTTTTACTCCTTTTACTGTTGATGTTGTTCATGAAGCTTTAACCAAGTTAGATCCTAAGAAACCGGCTGGCCCGGACAATTTAGAGCCTTTCTTTTTAAAGATAGCTGCAGATTTTATTGCTCCACCTCTCACTACTCTTTTTAACCTCTCCCTCAGCTCAAATACAATTCCAAAATTGTGGAAGTCAGCGTATGTCCTGCCTCTACTAAAAGGTGGGGAGGCCACTTTATTAAATAATTATAGGCCCATCTCTAAATGATCAGTTCTGGCTAAGGTTCTTGAACGCCTAGTGAGTGAACAGGTAAAGGTGTTTTTATGTACAAATGACATCCTGTCTAAACATCAGTCAGGCTTCAGAAAGCAACACAGCACCATCACTGCCACAATGAAAGTGGTAAATGATGTGGCGAGTTTTTTAGATAATAAGCAGAGTTGTGCAGCTCTATTTATTGACCTGTCCAAAGCGTTTGACACCGTCGATCATCGCATCTTAAAGCAGAGGCTACTCAGTATTGGCATATCCAGCCATGCAGTAGGGTGGTTTGTGAACTACCTCTCTGAAAGGTCCCAATGTGTTCACTTTGATGGGCTGTCTTCTGAGTGGTTAAACATTGCTAATGGTGTTCCTCAAGGTTCTGTTTTAGGTCCACTTTTATTCTCCATCTACATCAATAGTTTAGGTGGATGTCGATGGAGCAACCTTACATTTTTATGAGGACGATACCGTGATGTACTGTGCAGGTCCCTCCATTAAGGAGGCTGTTGTTGAATTGCAAGCAGTTGTTAACATTATTCAGACTCAGCTCTCTGAACTAAAGCTTCTTTTAAATGTTGAGAAAACCAAGGTAATGCTCTTTTCTAAAGCTAAAAAGACACCAGAGCCTGTTTTAGATATTGTAACTACACAAGGAATAAAACTTGAAGTGGTTACCTGTTACAAATACCTTGGTATCTGGCTTGATGATTGTCTCACTTTTAAATGTCATGTCAATAACCTGCTTAAAAAGCTGAGGGTTAGGCTAGGTTTCTTTTACAGGAACACGTCCTGTTTCTCACTTGAAGCCAGGAAAAGGCTCTGTGACCTTTTGACCTGTGCTGGACTATGGTGATTTGTTATATATGAATGCACCTGCCAATTGCCTGGTCAAGTTAGATGCTGCGTATCACAGCGCACTGAGATTTGTGACAAACTGTAAAGCATTAACCCATCACTGTACCCTGTATGCAAGGGCTGGTTTGCTTTCACTAACTGTACGGAGGCTCAGTCACTGGTACATTTTTATATACAAAGCCATGTTAGGGAAACTTCCACCTTATATCTGCTCCCTGATCTCACGGCGAATTGTAAGTGGCTACTGCCTGAGATCGAATGCTGTGGTTTTATTAAATGTGCCAACTGCTAGGACTGTCTTAGGGAAGACAGCTTTTAGATGCGCAGCGCCACTGTCTTGGAATAGTCTGCAATTGAAATGGAAACTGAACAATCTGGTGCCACTAAATGTTTTTAAAGCTCGGTTGGACGCTACTCAATCGGAAGCTGTTGGTAGCTGTTTATGTGGATAGTTATGTAAATTGTAATCCCTGTGATGATGATGTAAGATGTCCTTTTTGTTGTTCTGTTTATGTTTTTATGTTTCATGTGGAACCTACTTGAGCAGGTCTCCCTTGAAAAAGAGATCAATGATCTCAATGGGATACACCTGGGTAAATAAAGGTTTGAAATGAAATGAAGTAACAAAAGGCGAGCTTTATTAAAAACAAGCTGATGAAAAACAAGAAACAACTAAACACTAACAAACTGGGGAGCACATGAAACAGGACAAACTTACAGAAGGGAACAGGCAGGTAACACGGACAAGGAAGACGAGCAGGTAACACGGGCAAGAAGAGACGAACAGGTAACGTGGGCTAAAAAAACTGACGGGTATCATGGACAAGAAGCGACGACGATCAGACATGGAGCACACGGGAAGACAAGACTAAATACCCAGAAGGGTAATCACAGGACGAGACAAAGCTGGGCAGGGGAGGCAGAAACACAAGAGCAACAGGTGAACACAATGAGACAATCAGACACAGGAGGGCAAACACAGGAAGGAAGACCAGACACAGGGAGAACAGAATTTCAAAATAAAACCATGACTAAAGACACAAAACTAAAATCATGACATTAGATTGGGTGACGTCACCGCTAGAGGGGAGAGGAGCTTTGATCTTTGAACACACCTGTCGGTCGTTAACTAAATCCAGTGGTAAAGATGTTTAGAAACAATGCAGGAATGTGGTACAAGAATCCAAAGATGTAATAGATAAACAGTTAAAATAGTCAGATAAAAGTGAGCTAAAATTCATGGGTATTCTTTGTTGTACCTTAACAATACAACTAATGCTATTAATACTTACTCAGCGGGGGTAATGTTAGCATCAGAATGTTCTAGTTAACAATGCTTCTGCATGGTTAAGGTGGTTTAAAAACGTTAAAACGGAATGGTAATTATCAGTGGGCATCTGCTTGATTCTGCTTTACATGTATTTGTTTGTGTTTTATGCTTACTGGTAAATGTAAACCTGAAGAATTCTGAATAAGATTCTGTTGATGTTCCCTGACCGTAAGCAGGATGAGTGAGTGAGAAGAGCGGAAGGAGCGAGTTCGAGTAGCAGATAGTAGGAGAGAGACTAGCGCCCTATGATCTCGGGCTGCTACCTATATCTCTCTCTAGCTCTATTCATCTTCTCTCTCTCTCTCTCTCTCTCTCTCTCTCTCTCTCTCTCTCTCTCTCCACCTCTCTCTCTCTCTCAGGTTAACTGTGTGACGTTCCCGTCTCTTGCATGCATGCAGGAGCAGCAGCTGCTGAAACCAAACGAGTGGAGCTACTGTGATTTCTTCTGGGTAAGTTCTCGTCAGCACTAAGAGACTATAAATGTCTTCTGTCCCTGAACACAACATGGCTGCAGTTTTTCTCAAGGGAAAAATCAAGTCCAATACCCTAACACCAAAGTGGTCTAAGCTAAGAGTGTTGATCTTAAAAGGTCACCTTTTGGAGAAAAAACTTGAACCAAACTTGGTGAGAAACAGAAGGAAGCAGAAGACGAAACATTTTTTAAATGACACACCATTACTGAATTAGAAATAACTAGCAACCAGGGGCGGCGGGTACTGTAGGCTAGGGAAGGCTAAGCCTTCCCAAATATTTGTGTCACTGCATCCTAAAATACAAATATAATGTATAATGTCTGTGTGTTTGACATTAGCGCTGCTAGCCACCTGTGCCCTGTACTACGAAGCCAGTTCAACAGACCCTGGATATGTTTGAGTAACAAACAAAGTAACAACAACAAACTAACAAACGAGATCTCGCTAAGCGGTCCTACGGCGCTGGTTATCAACTCGGTAAATCAAGCCAGGGTTTCTCTCTCCAGCTGAGAGCGCGTTCACGTGAAAGGGGCGGGGTTAGCTACATTTGACCAATCACAAACAGGGACAAGTGTACTGACAGCGCAACATCATACTTCATTAATGAAAAGTAAACTAATATTAGACAAATATGAGCTTTAAACATCCATGATGACTTAAACATATAATCCAGTATACAAGCCACATAGTTGCACCTGCAAGGAGAATACAGAACAACTGGTTCAAAAATAACTAGGCCTACCGAGTGTTTGAAAGCGTATAGTTTTATGATATCACTGCCCCATCTAAGACACGAGCGGATCTGACTTTAACTACATTTGACTCGAGTGTTTCGTCAACATAATGTGTTGCTTAAAATAATACTTCTGCATACAGTATGTGACACTGTAAGTGTTGCACGGCCAGATACGGCTGGAGAAGCTGACTCAGATAAGGAAATATATGATGTATTATGATATTATATGATCGATGATCTGATTGATGATGTAATATGAATGATAAGTGCGACACGTCGGCGTCTTCTCTGCATACGGCAGTTTAAACTGTATTTCCTTTATCCTGTAATATGACTTGAGAGATTTAAACTCTGCACACTGAGTTTAGCTCTTTTCTATAGACGCCGGAGGCGGGTAGCGTCAGGTAAAAAAAAAGTTATTTAGCCTTCCCAAACCTGAGCCTCACGCGCCGCCTATGCTAGCAACCAAAGAAAGAAAACCAATCCTTTTCAAAAGGAAATTCTACCAGTGTAGACGATCCTCTTGCCCAGTTGATCACCGAATGAACATCCCTGGTCTAATTGAATTTCATCCTTTTCATCCTCCTTCCTTCAAAGTCTGAGATATTGGGTCCCGCTATTTGTCCTTGTTGATGTTGCAAATGGAGCTGCTGTGATGCAAGAAAGAATCAGACTTGACTTATAATAATAACAATAATGCATTTTATTTATATAGCGCTTTTCACAACTCAAAGACGCTTTACAGTATGAGGGAGGGTAGACAAACAAGGACAGGCAAACAAGTAAGTATAGTAAAATAAAAATAAATAAATAAAAAGGCAGTCAAGAGGAAGTTGATTGAGAGAGACTTATGTGTTCAAGCTTAATCAATGCATTACTTTTTTTTCCTCTAGGTTCATTGGCTCTGGGTGTATTGTTCTTGTCTTTGCTGCTGTTGCCTGTTTAATGTGTTTCTTGTCTGGATGATGTGTTTATCTGGTAGGCTGATAAGAAGGATCCCCAGGGCACCAGCTGCCTCACAGGGTTTGAGGTTTTGCTGCAAAAACAGCTGAAGGGGAAACAAATCCAGAAAGAGATGGCAGAGTTTATAAGAGAAAGGTATCAGGCTTTTCTTCCACATGTCATGCTCAGGTTACCATGAAAACCATGCAGTTGTCATTAAAAACAAACAAGTTCCCCTTTTCTTTTGCTCATGTACACCACTGTGTTGCTAACACAGGAAGTCACATGAATTAATCAGATTGCGTAAAGGCTGTGTGGAACTGAAACTCTTGACTTCCCTCTCAGGATAAAGATAGAAGAGGAGTATGCCAAGAGTCTCTCCAAGCTCTCCCAGATCCCTCTAGCAAGCCAGGAAGAAGGGTGAGTGACAGAGAAAGATAAACTCCTTTCAAGATTCAAGGCTTTATTGTCATATGCACAGCAGCTACAGTGTAGAAATGGCAATGAAAATCTAAAGTCCCAGGCACTGGGACTTTAGATTTTCGTACCTGATTTTCGTAGAACAAAATATATGTTTTGCGAGACCAATATCTATGCAGATGACGTAAACTATATACATGTCAGGAAATAAAGAAATTCAATAAGCTAAATAATGCAAATTATGATTCATCATGGCACAGCCTGCTTGGAAAATAACAACATGTTTAACATCCTCTTTTTAGTCAGGATGAGGCTGCTCTAATAAAAGGCCTTTCGATGGCCCATTCGAGCCCTCTAGCAGGCAATGCATGGATGTATATAGAGAAACCGGATCAGTGTGTGAGGCGAGGCCCGTTCATTAACAAACATTTTCTCAGTGGTGCATGAAGCCTAAATGACCTTCCTCTGTAGGAAATAAATACTTGGCTCTAATAGGACGTGATCACTTGTGTTTGGTCATTTATACAGACATGCAGTTTCGTGTTGGGGGTTGTACAAAAAAGGGGATGAAAAGTGTGAGAGCAGAGGGGGGCTATCACGCTGAGCCAAGTCATTGTTTAATCAATCAATCAATATTTATATAGCCCAATATCACAAATGTTACATTTGTCTCAGTGGACTTTACAGTTTGTACGAGGGTGTCGTATGACAATACGACACCCTCTGTCCTTAGACCCTCTGTCCTTAGACCCTCTGTCCTCAGACCCTCTGTCCTTAGACCCTCTGTCCTTAGACCCTCACATCGTACAAGGAAAAACTTCCGGAGAAAACCCACAGTTTAAAGGGGAACATGGGAGAAACCTCAGGGAGAGCAACAGAGGAGGGATCCCTCTCCCAGGACGGACAGACGTGCAATAGATGCCGTGTGTAAATTGAAAAGATAATACATTTGCAACATAGGTAGTCCAAATGTTTGGAAATGCATGTGTGTATAATAGGAAGATGAATCCACGAGGATATCCATCCAGAACCTATGATCCAGGACCACAGCCACGACTCAAGATCCAGGGCTCGCGATCCAGGACAGAGGAGCGCAGGATCATCCATGACTCCGGATCCCGGCGTATATAGACACCAAAAAGAAAGACATTTGGGGAAGCTGGGTTAATCGGAACATGAGAGTACACAGGTATAGACAGAGAGAAGGAAGAAGTAAGATGTCCCCCGACAAACTAAGCCTATATCAGCAAAACTAGGGGCTGAATCTAATCAGCGCTAACTATAAGCTTTATCAAAAAGGAAGGTCTTAAGCGCACTCTTAAAAACGGATAGGGTGTCTGCCGCCCGAACACACACTGGAAGCTGATTCCACAAATGTGGAGCTTGATAAGAAAAGGCTTTGTTTGATTGATTCTCGGAGTCTGAGTTTATTTTACCCGTCCCAGGATTTAGAACAACAAACAAGTCACACACGTTTGCATAGAGAATGTTTTGCTTTATTTACTCTTTTAGCATGTATCTTTGTCTCAAAATAATTGTAATTTATGTTATCTTTACGGTGTCCGAAAACACTTACATAACAAGAGAAATGCGCTGCACTTTAAAAAAAAAAGATGAAAAATAAAACAAACAAATGTGCCAAAACACATGCACATCATCAACCAGACAACACGTGCAGTCTTTTGCCAACTTGACCAAACATGCAGAGTGTTTACACAAAGCGCTGCACAAACAAAACGCTGCAATAGAAAGCACAGCAAATAAACACAGGAACCAGGACACTGCAACCCTGAGCCTCCTTCAGTCCGAGAAGTACATGCCTAGTTGGTCAGAAGCATAAGTTGAGTCCTTAGCAATCATAGTATTCACAGATAAGTCATTTTTGACTTCTGAGCTGTCCAATGGAATACCAGCCTCTGTTGATATTTTCCTAGGCCCCCACCTTTGACCCAGTTTATCCGTTTGTACTGCCCTCACTGAGCACAGGCCTGCGATCTTGGGCTGCTCTCAGTGTTTTGTCCCAGAACTAGCATGTATCTAGCTGAACCAGCCAAATACATGGGGCTGGTGTAGAGATCTTCAGAATTGGTCGGGCAACTGCTGTTTCAGCATGTCTTGTCAGTTCTCCGGCCGTAACTCCATAATAAACCATCAGTGTTTGCCTTCAAGCTCCAGCTCTCCCCGTGTCTCTCTGAGTTTCGTCTCCATTGCTTCAGAAGTTTCCACCACACCCTCCATGATGTTCTCTGGAACATGGCTTTCTGGCTTCCAAAGAAAGCTGGGCCCTTCAGTTCACCTGCTGCCAGACAGCAAGTCATCGACTTTCAATCCTCTGGACGCATTGTATGTAGTTGATCATATATGAACCATCCCAGAATGGTCCTACTTGAATTTCCACACCTGTTTTATCACCTCCCATTGTCCCAATTGCTTGGGAGCATTGGTTCCAATCGACAGGTGCACAGTTACTTCAATGCTTGGGATGCGTACCTTTGACAGGTGTGGCCATTCAGCCAGAGCTTACTGTGTCACTATGTCATCAGCCGTCACTGGCAACATCTTGCAGCAGATAGAAACCACTGCTGTCAAGGCCAGCAACCTCCAAACCAGTCAATGAGTAAGCCGTCTCAACTGTTCCTTGCTGCAATTTGCGTAGCAGTAATTATTTTACCTGCAGCATTCAGGTTCTTCTTAAAATGTTTAGAGCAGAACTTATATGTTTGCTTGTATGTGACCTTCATGGGAATGATCAGTGGAGCACACTGTGTGTTGGATGGTCATTGCATGGTTCCCTCTGCAACTCCAGAGATGCTTGCTTCTTCATGTGGAGTACAGGGGGAGTTTGACCACAGACTTTGCATGTCAAGCTCCTCTGGCAATCACGATTCATGCGACCAAAAAAAACTCCCTTTTACCCAAGAAGTGATTTTTGCTTTGGACTCCTTCCTTTTAGCTCATTAAACACTTTTGTTTTCCCGCCTGTTTGACTGTATGAGTGTGTTCACCTGCTGCCCTCGTAACCTGCCTGCTAGTTAACATGCATACAATACGTTTTCTTCTGAGATAAGCATTGTCATGAGACTGCAGTGCTATGGAGTTGTCCCAAATAGAATCCAGATTAGGCCACTGGGCTCAGTCTGCTCACACACATAAACCTTCTAGACAGTGCCTTCATTATTCTCTCCCTTAGAACAACACAATCGCTGTTTTGTTCCCACCATCAGACCCGCCACAGCCCAGAACCAGAAATCAATTTCCCTTACAGCTTAGTACACTATCAAGGGCACCACGGCAGGGCCCAGGAGGTGAACTGGGACCTCTGCAAGTAGCAGTCCACACTCCATGTTTAGGTCTGTTCGGGGACTTGAACCAGCAACCCTACGGCTCCCAGTCCAAGCCCCTACTGACTGAGACACTGCCGGCTCAGGTTTCTATAAATGTTGTTCATTTTGGATTGGAAGAATGAGCAGGAGTTGCATTGTGCGGTTGTTGAGGTGGCATTGTCACAGGGTTTAAGGAGTGTGTCTTATAACATACCCTCCAATGTTCTTACCTCAGACCGTACGGTTATTACAGACTTTTAAACCAACCACTCACTCTTGTCTCGTTCATGTACCGACGTGTGTGTGTGTGTGTGTGTGTGTGTGTGTGTGTGTGTGTGTGTGTGTGTGTGTGTGTGTGTGTGTGTGTGTGTGTGTGTGTGTGTGTGTGTGTGTGTGTGTGTGTGTGTGTGTGTGTGTGTGTGTGTGTGTGTGTGTGTGTGTGTGTGTGTGTGTGTGTGTGTGTGTGTGTGTGTGTGTGTGTGTGTGTGTGTGGTCCTTTTTTGTGAAATAAAATCAACACACTGCCTCCTGTCTGCTCTCAGGACTGTGGGAGAGTGTTGGGCCCAGTTAAAGAAGAGTCTGGAAGACGAGGCTGAGATTCACTTGAAGTTCTCCTCAAAGGTAATCCAGCATGGGTTTGTCTTAGGGGTTTAGAGAGGGAAGAGCACAGATGTTAGCCAGGATGCAGCTGGTCTGATGCAGGAAATGGAGCCGGTGCTGTGATCCTCCAGAGATGCACAGATGTGCTGCAGAACAAGGAATGGGGTGGAAATATACTTTGATTGTTTCCAATGAAAACAATATAATGAATACACACAGTACAGGTGCACACAGAGAGGTGATAGAGCCTGCCAGTTTACAAACCTCGGCTCAGGAGGCGAACTGGCACCTCCATTTTATTTGGGTCCGATTGTGTGACCAATCGGTTCCAAGGCCAAGTTCCCTTAACTCTTGGGTAAGGCCATTTGCACTCAGTTCTACTGTACATTGGATACATCTGAAGTAAGTTAAACAATTCATAGATAAAGTTGTTGTTTGGTTCCAAAAATTAAAAAAATGTCTTGACAAAACTAAATCATTGTGAGGTTGTCATGACATAATGTGGAAAGCTGGAAATAATGTAATATTGTGAATGGATATGTAAATCCAGTATGTGGGGGATGGGTGATTTGCGCTGTGTTTTATACATCTTGTCTCACACCTAAGAGTTAAAAGCCATGTGCTGTTCATCTCTGGGCTACTTTATCTCAGCCCCAGTTGGAGTTTGTCAAATGGACAAGCTCATACTGACAGGGGAGGGGACACTCAACCCGGGGGCTGATGGGAAGAGCATAGGGTCTCCAGAGAAGGGCATGGAGTCATTTAGATAACTGGATATTTTGTTGCAAGAAGCCATCAAATTTTTTCAAATGGTAGTTACTCTCTACATACAAATGTGAAGAAAAGTTTTTCAGTTCAATTCTATTGGACCTACAGTATGGCTCAAAGTGGTTTTACAGACATTTTTACAGACAAGTGAACAATGTCTGGTGACTTGCAATTCCAACTACAGCCACTACTTTAAAATGGCCAATAATAATAGCTTTAAACCCTTCAGTGACACTATCTTTGCTCCCAGAAGGTACATTTTTGTTGTTAGTTTTTTTTTACTCAGGATAAAACATTATGCCAATGGAATTTTTTTTAAATGTGTGTACATTTCCCAAAACAGTATTTATTTGCGTAGTTTACGTAACTTTAGAAACAAAGGCTTCAAAGTCACATTCACACTAGCTTTTATTCTCAGCAAGGGAGACTTCATATTTTATTCCTGTGTTTTTACATTGGCTCAAAGACCTGAGGTCCTCAGGAGGATGCTCTCTGGTTATTACACCATTTATTATTATCTGCTTTTGAGTTATTGGTTGTTTGTGTTTCGTACAGCTGCAGAGTGAGGTGGAGAAGCCTCTTCTGACATTCCGGGAGAACTTTAAGAAGGACATGAAGAGGTACGAACATCACATTGCTGACCTCCGGAAGCAGCTAGGTGGCCGCCATGCATCGGTGGAGAAGGTAACCAGGAACAAGAACAGAGCATGAGGGGAACACAGTTCTGACAATCACCCTGATGCCGATTAACATTCCCTATATTTGCTGTTTCCCATCCCTGGAATGTTTTAATATGTATAAAGAAAAGCAATCTGGGATGACAGTTTATTTATACTTATTTCATGGACAATTGAGCATTTAAAGCAGGACAGGCAAAAATGTTGTGGTCATGTTGGTTGGATGATGGATGAAAAGTAATGACTGATGATGATGATGATGATGATGATGATGATGATGATGATGATGATGATGATGATGATGATGATGATGATGATGATGATGATGATGATGATGATGATGTGAAAGTGCCGCTCCCTGAACCTTCTTGCTGCACATTATTCAGGTTGAATGATTTGTATAGCAGTGAGATGTGAGCCCGTCACTCACTCCTGCGTCTTCTCTCCGCAGGCCCGTAAGGCTCTGGCTGACAGACAGAAAGATCTGGAGCTGAAGACTCAGCAGCTGGAAATCAAACTCAGCAACAAGATTGAAGAGGACATCAAGAAAGCCCGCAGGAAATCCACACAAGCAGGTCAAAGACGGGGTCAAAGGTCACAACACTGCCTCGCTAGCTCTCATTTATCTTTGGGCGTAAAAATATATATATTGTGAGATACTGATATTGATCATACACCGCTTATAAAGTTTCCAGAAATGAATTTATTCATCATATAAACCGCTTCTAATCTCTATTTTTAAAATGTTGAAGCTTATAACGTTTTTTCCCCATTCAGGGAAAGGCAAAAACATGTGAACTGTAAATATAGAACAACTGCAGGTTTACATCCCCTGCCTGACGAACAAAAAGCTCTGCAAATCAAAATAAAAACACGGGCATATATACAGCTGCACAATTTATGCCAATATGCCAATTACCAAGATTAGTTTTCTGTGTCTGATCAATATGTTAAATTGTGGCTCAGTTGTTACAGGCGCAGTCAGTAGAGTCCATCATGTGTATTTTGGTCAGACTTATTCTGCTAATTACTGAAGTTAATTTCCTTTAAAACTGCATATAAGACTTAAATGTTAAAGAAGAGCTACACAAATATAAATGTTACATTTGTTAGCAATAAAACAATACCTGTTTAATTCAATGTATCTTGAGCTGGCTAACAGCTCTCATTTAAAAGAAACAGAGCAGCTGTCTGAGAACACGAGGACACAGTATGAAGCCGCTTGCGTCTCCGTGTCTCTTGGGGGTTTTATCCTCATTCTATAGTTAGAGGTTCTCAAGGGTTTAGGCTCAGACTCAGGCTCGCTGCTCTCTTGAGGTTATTACACACCAAAAAGCATTGTACAATGTGTGGATTAGAATAAAAAGCATCCTATCATATTCTTCCAACAGGAGATATTTATACATTGTCTTTTTTATTTACTTTACATTTATAAAAAGCTTATTCTGAAGCTTAGTCCTGAAGAGCTATTTTTGTAAAACATGCTGCAGAGGCTGTTGATGTGCTGGAACACACTTACCTCAACAAATAATGCCAATAGATATTATAATGTAAATGTCATTGAATATAAAACAGCAAACTGCTGTTTGGACCTCTCTCGTTTCCATTCATGTAGCCAGGTTGCTAGCTAGGTTGCTAGCTAATAACTAACTAATGAAGAATACCAAGAGCTCCTTTCTGTAGACCTGAAGGGCCCTTTTTGGTCCTGAGACTATACTTTGAGAAACACTTTTCTAAACGTGCGTGAGATATTTAGCCATCACACATTCTAACAGAAAATATAATTTAATTAAATATAAAGTTGCAGAAATGTCAGCAGACCAGAGGGGTCAGCATCATCCCCTCCCTGATATGGGCCAGAGGGGTCAGCATCATCCCCTCCCTGATATGGGCCAGAGGGGTCAGCATCATCCCCTCCCTGATATGGGCCAGAGGGGTCAGCATCATCCCCTCCCTGATATGGGCCAGAGGGGTCAGCATCATCCCCTCCCTGATATGGGCCAGAGGGGTCAGCATCATCCCCTCCCTGATATGGGCCAGAGGGGTCAGCATCATCCCCTCCCTGATATGGGCCAGAGGGGTCAGCATCATCCCCTCCCTGATATGGGCCAGAGGGGTCAGCATCATCCCCTCCCTGATATGGGCAGAGGGGTCAGCATCATCCCCTCCCTGATATGGGCCAGAGGGGTCAGCATCATCCCCTCCCTGATATGGGCCAGAGGGGTCAGCATCATCCCCTCCCTGATATGGGCCAGAGGGGTCAGCATCATCCCCTCCCTGATATGGGCCAGAGGGGTCAGCATCATCCCCTCCCTGATATGGGCCAGAGGGGTCAGCATCATCCCCTCCCTGATATGGGCCAGAGGGGTCAGCATCATCCCCTCCCTGATATGGGCCTAATGAAAGGAGAGAAACACTTTCCTTTTATTATTGCTTATGATATCATATAGAATGTATTAGAAATCCAGGTTGTGTGCACTGTTCAGGCTCAGCTGAGTGATGTAGTCTCATCAGCTGTTGGGCAGTAGCACCACCTAGTGGTAGAATAGAGCACCTTGTATTTGAATGTGCTGTACACAGTTTGTACTTAACAGGTCTCATGTAATACATGTGTGTCCTTTTAAGACTTCTTGTTGTATTCTCTCCAACAGGAGACGATCTGATGCGCTGTGTGGACCTTTATAACCAATCACAGTCCAGATGGTTCGAGGAGACGGTCACCACCAGTCTGGTAAAACATCCTGTTAATGTGTGTGTAGTTTAGTGTGAGAGAAAGCTGTTCTGCGCGGCTGCTGTTCCCTTTGGATGTTCTTCAGAATCATAGTTAGCAACATCTGACAATATCAGTAGCTTTAGTTCATTCTCCCAAAGGTTGAGTCTGCAAACTCATAACATAAATGAATACACTGACTTACTGAATGGAGCCTTTTCACTTTGTGTGCTAAACAGAATTCGTTCTGCCTTTTAATGGAAGGTCCAGAGCATAGCAAAATAAACATATAAGATACAAAGAAACTACAAGTCATGTTAAATAATACAAACAAATGATCTGAATGAAATACAAAAATAAGTAATATGTCTTGTATTTTGTAAATTACACAAAAGTTTATTCATAAGAACTTTTATTCTACATAGACATGTCCATATTCATGTACACAACCACTTACAATATACAGTATATATATACACTTTTAGTCCATGTGTAATGTCTATAAATGATCAGGTCATATACACTTTGGGAATGCGGCTACAGAAGCATGTTTGAAAGACGTGTGAAGAAGAAATGGGACAAAGGTTCTGGTTAAAGCATCAGGGCTCTCTAAGACACTACATTTACTATAGAGACTGAACGGTTCATTTGATGTCTAGGTGACTTTAGAGTCATAGCTTTGATCGACCCTAACATAACCTCTTTTGATCAAATGTGTGACACGTTTACTGTTTGGTGAGTAACAGTGCCTGTTTGCAGGAGCTGGAACGGCTGGAGGTGGAGCGGGTGGAGATGATCCGACACCATCTGTGTCAGTACACCGCCCTCCGACACGAGACAGACATGTTCAACCAAAGTGTAAGTCCAACTCACACTCAGCATTACAGGCGTTCACTTTGAGAGGAAACACGTATACCATTAGTCAGAGTACCATGAGGGATCAGGGCCAAAGCTACTGTCGAGTCAAAAGGCATTTTGATAAATAACTTTTATTTTCATAACTTGGCCTAACTTAAATTGGTCAGGGTAAAGTTCAATCCAGACTTTATTAATTCCCTGAGGTGGCAAGAACAGATAACGAGGTCATAAATAGATAAAAGAGCTATAGTATATCAAATATATACTGTAGATTGGATGCAAAATCTGACATCAAACTTGATAGCTGAGTGCCAAATACTCTTCTGCTGCTACATTTGTTTTTGAAATGAGGCAGGAGAAACTTTAAGCTTTTGCATCTTTGACTTCCTTTCCATGCACACTCTGATCTCCTTCCAAATGTGTGTTACGTTGAGTGTGTAAAGTACTTAATAGAGACTATAAAGTACATTAAAAGCACCCACATGTTGTCTCCTAATAGTTTCCAGCATAGTGAATCCGCGAATACCCCAAAGTTTTATGTTAGAAATGTATAGCAGGGTCCCCAGCACATAGACACTGCCGGATGCTAACCTGCATATGTTGGGCAAGTTGCACAATTAGCATAATTAGTGTTATTCAAAATAATTGTGGACAATAGTTAAAAAAATGACTTGACCGATTTGGATCCTTTTGGAGTGGTTTTGGGGGTTATCGAGGATGCTGAATCCATTTCAGACGTTTTCAGTTGCCATATCCGGACTCTCTGTGGGCTGATTTAGACTACCATGAGTAGTGTTGCTACCATTGAATACAGAAAGCACAAAATGACCATTACTACTGTGGACAATTTATTTCCAAATAAATAAGCAAACTGTCCAACCCAAATGATCCAGAATCCCCTAAATCTTCAAAATCGACCCAAAATAAATCAAAATCAGCCCACAGAGTACAGATATTGCAACCTTTTGGTTAAAACAGACATTTTTTATCACAGAAATGTCAGAAATGGACATCCTCAAATATTCCCAAAACCACTCCAAAATGGTCTAAATCAGCTAAGCCATTTCTTAACTATTTTCCACATTAGCTTTAATGGAACTTATATGCAAGTTAGCATCCAGCAGTTTCTATGTGCTGGGGACCCATACTATACATTTCTAACATAAAACTTTGGGGTATTCAACATTTGCGGGTTCACAACAGGACACTATCAGTGGCGTCATGTCTTCCCCTGAGCTTCAGCTGCTCTCTGTGTCTGCAGACGATGGAGCGGGTGGATCAGCTGCTGCAAAGTGTGGACCCCATCAGAGACAGAGAGCTGTGGGTGGAGGAGAATAAGACCGGGGAGATCAGGCCAGTGAACGTAGAGATCTGACCCCAGATGCTCTTCATATGCACATTCAGGGACTGGCTCCATCATGCCTGAGGACCCTCCTGTGACCCCCAACACAGCAGACTGCTTAGGATGAACCAAGATAGGGACACCTGTAACTGTCATGCAGCAGTGTGTGTGCTTCTACTCTGTGGGGTCATTCTTTCTTTCACTTGTGTGTCAACGTACACCTGAAAGTTGTTGCCAAAAAATAATTTAACATTAGCTGCTAAGCCAAATGCATTCTGACCTAAGAGTGATATTTCTATGTACCAGAACTAGACATTAGTATCTTAAATGACAGAATTGTTGGCTTGTGTGAGCGAATACTAAAGCTTAAACTCAGGCACCATTCCTTACATATTCTTGAAAAAAGACACCAACAACCATTATTGTAGAGTATTGCTCTTTTCTTTGTATGTGTTGAGAAGTCCAAGGCTTCTTTCATCTTTAAAATAAGTATGAAATATTACGTTTCATTTCCACCAGTGTTTTTCTTAATTGCCAATTGCACTTTAAACCTAAATATTTCTTAATAAATGTACTTTAAATTGCTGTTTATATGAACAGTTATCTAAAGAGAATTTTCTTGTTAAACATTTGATAACCCATCGCAGGAGGGGCCTGTATGGGGTTTAGAGGGAGACTAGTGTACGATATGGGATGTGTTTTTGCAATGAAAGGAGGCAGAAAAGCAAAATGATGTAAAATACTAATAGTAAATAGTTTTAAACAAAAACATATAATATAGAAATATCTGGGACTGTTTATTGCCAAATGGAACATACATATTAATTCAAATAACACCCTCATTTATATTCTACTTTTTTAACCACCTCTTCTCCAGTATTATTGCCTATAATTACTACTTTTGAGAGAAGTACTTAAGGGCTGAAGGTTTGCATTTATTATAAATAAAATAAATATATGTTAAAACATCCTCCTTTCTGTGTTGATTTTTGCATTCGTGGTGGTGTTTTTGTAAAAAATATATAAATGCAAAAAGAGCTCAAATTCACATGTTCGCAGCAATAATAATGGTTAGGTTATTAGTTCAGAAAAACATGCTGTAAGCAATTAGTACACAATTAACTAACCATTTACAAATCATTCACTATTAACCCTCCTGTTGCGTTCGGGTCAAATCTGACCGATTTACTACTTTCATCAATCATAACTTTTTTGTTTTACATTCGATTGCATTAAGGCTTTATGATATCCTTCACAGTAGACATTTGAACATGTAAAATGGCTGATCAACACTTTCATTGAACTTTGGATGATTTAGTCAACTTTGAAACACCCATGGTGTTCCCGCTAAAAAATGACCGCCATAAAGAAAAGGAATTAGTAACCATCCGGATCAGATAAAACACACACACACACTCTAGATGTGTGTGTCCCCCCTAATGTGCCCAACCCCCCCATGTGAATCACACCTGGCACACACACACACAACAATTTGACACATATCCCGCTCTTATGTGCCCCTCCCCCCACATGGATCACACCTGGCACACGCAATACATGTTCAGTGTCTATTCTTTGTATATTTACTGCAGTGTTTCATGTATACCAGTCTGATACAATATGTACAGTTTGAAAGGGTGTTAAATGAAATGTGGTGATGATTAATGGTTTTTGTGTTAATGTAATAGCAGTTAAAACAGGACCGGTCCAATTTGACCAAAGTAAGGGGGAGGAAACAAAGACAATAGAAGGGTTAAATGAAAGGTGTTGACATCTCACTCCACAATACGCAGTAAGCTGGTCACAAATATGTGCAAACACCAGCTGCTGCTGTAGCTGACTCTACTCTGTCGGTCATAGAGTAATTAGCACATAAAACGGTAAATAATCATTTTGTACCTAATGTCCTTTGGGATATAACTGTTAAGAATCAACAAAAGTCAATTTGCTCAGCTAGACTTCTCTGCTGTCATCTCTACTCTCAGGACCCTAGCAGTTGATTTGTTTTAATCTAGTTTACAGGTGAGGTTGTCTAGCATAAACTTAAGTTTTAGCTTCTCTGTGTTTTTCATTTAGGCAAGGTCAGACATTATTGAATAACATGTTACATGTTAAATTCTGAGTAGATGCAAAGCTTGGGCAGTGAACCACAGTGAAGAAATTAGAAGAGGTGGATAGCTTTTACGCCAGATTGACATTTTAATGACATGTAAAATGTAAATAAATGATTGGTTATAGATGTTCATAATTAACTGATAACGAGTACAGTACTTATAAATGTATCAATATTTGACTATCTTTTGGGGATTTTTGAAAACAGTAACTAACAGTAAAATATTCATCATGGATCTGTTTTGACAAAAACACATTACATTATGAAGAGGAACAAAACGAAGTCTTTAGAGTCTTCAATCATGCAAAGAATAAAGGAGTTCATTGGGGAATGCACATTAACACAGAGAGGTGAAACAGTGAGTGTCATTCTGTCCCCCCCGGTTTGCTCTAGTCCACCATGAGCTTCTGCAGAGAGTCCAGGTACGCTGGGATCAGGGAGCTGACAGACTGGTCGTCTCGGAGGATCTTCCCCCCGCACTCTGAACCCACAGAGCTGGGGGACCTCAGCAGGCCGGGGTACGGAGTGCTGTAACCCTAGTGGAGTACAGACAAACAGGAGCAAGAACAAGTAAGGGAACCGTTTGGAAGTACTCTTCGAGTACAATACGAAGCAAACACAAACAGTCTTAAATAACTGTGCAGTTGTGTTTGTTCATAATGAATAAATCCTTCAAAATGTAGTTTCTAAAAAGTATGTGAGCCCATAGACCTCAACAAAAGCTAGTAGAGTTTAGGGGTTAACAAACCTAGTTTAGTCAGTGAAATAAGATTGGAGGTGTGATTTGACTTATAATATATAATCAGCTGATCTGTAACATGCCTTGCAAAAAAGAGATATCAGAGCACCTACGATCAACAATTGCTGGTTTGTATAAAGCTGGAAAGGGTTACAAAATAATCCCCTAGACCAGGGGTTTTCAAAGTGTGGGAAGGTGAGCCTCCCCTCAGAGAACATAAGAACAGAACAGCCCCCCCCTCCCAATTATTATTGCTATTCTTCTTCTTCTTCTTATTGTTGTTGTTGTTATAATGCAGGGGTATTCAATTGCATTTCAAAGAGGTCCAGTAAGAGAAAATGTCATTAAATGCTCTGTTTTCGCTGTCTACCTTCCGCCATTTGAAATGACTCCGACTGTTTCCCTCCTCTTGTCTCGTCTCTGTGTGTGTGTTTGAATATATCGCTGACTCACTGACTGCACCGATTTGATTGGCTGAGTAGCGTCACCTCCTTAAAACATTAAACAATAACTTTTTTAAACCTTTTTATCTTTATGTTTTAAACATAGTGTATAAAACTCCCCCACTACTTGGACTATTCCTTGCACCCCTCTAGAATAAGCCCGAATGGTCTCAACCATATTGCATCAGGACACTGGCAGCGATCGGACAATTGAGTGTGTTCAGTTTGTGTGCTGTGGAACATGCGTGCATGAAAATATACCACACACCCAATTACAATTGCATGTTCAATTCACTGCCCTGGAAGTTAATAAAGTTGTTAAAGTTGGAACGCCTGCGGACAGCCGTTCTTCCTTGCATGTCAGTCGCCGACACCTTCTTACAGAGGACAGGCAAATCTAGCTGCAGCACGACCCGTATATTTTCGCACGCCGTGTTCTCAACACATATTTTTAAACATTTTTAACATCGTGGATACATCCTTATATTCTCCCGGCAACACACTGAACGTCAACTTTGCCTCCTTATTTCACTCAGCCCTACTTTAGTGGGAACAATGAGTCTGCGTCTTTGATGCACACAGGAATAAACGCAGATCATCCTCTGGCTGCAGCCTTGACCGGAACTTGCTTTTGATCAAAGTCAATGCGGAAAACCCGCACTCCCCTGAAGCTCTCTGGCGCCCCCCAGGGGAGTGGCGCCTCACACGTTGAAAACCGCTGCCTTAGAGTTTAGATATCCATCAGTCCACAGTTGGACACATCTTTGCTAAATGGAGACCATTTAGTACTGTGGCCACCTTGAAGACTTGATACTAAGGTTGAATTATTCAGGAAGAATACGGCGTCAGGCATGAAAAAGGCATAGCCAAGGCAAGGCCACCACCACGGCGGGAGGGGCGGGGTTTAGTGATGTATTTAAAGCCAGGGGGGATGTTTGGTTGAGGGAGATGAAGTCATCGGGCTGTTGCCAGGTTTCGGTGAGCAGAAGGAAGTCAAGGGATTTTTCCAAGATTAGTTTATGGAGGATGAGGGCTTTCTTGTTGAGTGATCGGATGTTAAGGAGGGCAATGTTAGTTGAGTGGGAGGGGCGTGGTGTGGTCACAGGCTGAAGAGGTAAGAGGTTGTCCAGGTTGACAGTGCGGGGGGGAATGTGAGATGGGGGGGGGAGGAGAGGAGTGAAGGTGGAAGGAAGTGTGTTATTATCATTTTTGGTGGTTGAGGGCGGTGGAATCCACTCCAGGTATTATATATACAGCCGGGACGCCAATACGGAAGTGCCACACACTGCAGTTCATACATGGGCCGCTAGGGACTGACTGCAGAAAGGAGCTATTTCCATAGACCCCATGTTAAAATGCCCAACTTTACAGCAGAAAAAAACATGTTTCTACCCATGGATGCAATACATATTATTATGAATATAGTTAGGTTCAACCTTCATGATTATGGATCTGTGAGTGAATTGTTTTCTAACACGACCCTTTTATTTATATTAGGTCTTAAAGTTTTTGCATAAATTAGGGCGTGGTCACATTGAGTGACAGCTCTGTCAAGTGACTGCTGCTGCTAGCTTCTTGTCTCTCTGCTAGCTGCTCCGTGAAGCTAGCTGCTCCGTGAAGCTAGCTACAGGGACTCTGCCTGCTCAGCTCATCCAGGAAACACAACTTGTAGCCGGCCGTGGTTGTTTGTTCTTCATGCTTATATATCGGACTATTGTGACTCGCTCTGCGGTTAAAACAGACGGTGCATGAATGCGGTTTTGCGGTAAGTGAAAATCGAGTACTTATTTATGTGTTAATGATTTGAATCAGCTACGTAATCCATGTTAAGGCTTGGTTTAGTGTGTAAGCGAGTGGTAGCTACATCGGTGCTAACGATGGTAATCGTAGTCTCCAAGTTAAAATCATAGACTGTATATATAAAGGTTAAAACGAAATAGACAAGTGTTAAGTGGGATAATACTGTAGAACAAACGGCTTCTGTTTGAGGTTATAAAATAAGGTCATCCTTGTAACTTAGAGAGATATTTTATTATGTAGGTAGGAACTGTATGCATCTAAGGTTAATTTGAATTGGCTATGCTCAAGTATGTAGACAAGCTAATGTCGAAGTAGTGTATGTGAAATCAACCTCACAATAAGATGTGCGTATATTATAATTATTAATGTCATATTTCAAGATGATTACTTAGATATTACAATATGGTTGGTTGAGCTGGAGTTCATTATTGAGCTTACACGTTAACGTCACAGTCATCTGAAGAACGAACCCAAACCTTGTTGTTTTTATTAATTGTATTACCAAATGGGTATCAAATAAACAGTAAGCATTGGTAACACAACTTCCAAAGTTACAGTAAAATAAAAAGGACCCTGACTCGGACAATACACAATCCAACATGTTCAACAGAAGAGAATCAGTTATATTGTTTGTACACATGGTACTTTACATATATATCTGTTTGTTTAAGGTGCCCAGGTGATGCAGACAGGCTGGACCAGAGAGTGAGAGACAGAACTGGACTCCTCACAGCAGTGAACTTCAGCACAGGTACAAAGACTCTTTTTTCATACTGTACAAAGAATCAAGAAAGATATTGGTTTAAATGAATGAAGTATTGACTTGAATACACTGATATACATTCCATTAAACAATACTAAATACTAGATCACC